TGCAAACAGCAAACGGCCATTCCACAACATACAGCTGATACCCAACAAAGTTTCTTAACAAGGACGAGGCCCAGAACCAGAACGGACAACACAGACCCAGGACTGGGACCTTCCAAATGGTACGTTTCTCTTTCTTCTGGAGGGAAGACCGGTCACCATGGCAGATCCGTCTCCCCTGGAGGAAGGCAGAGGCTGGCTCCCTGCACGTCATCTCCTTAAATCATTTAAATGACTCACGACAGACACCTGCTGTGGTTTTTCTCTTCCACTGGGATCGTCCTTTTTGCAATTCTCTAACGACTAATGCCCTCCTGCCCTGGCTACAGCTAAGTTACCACGGGGTCAGGTGCCAGGTGAGCATGGTTATCTGCTGACCCCACGGAGACCTGGCTGGCCACATCATTCAAATAACTTAAGGAAGACAAACAGGTCTGCCGAGTAAACGTGTTTTTCCTTTAAAGGCCAAGTGAGGGTGGGAGGCGGTAACAAAATCTTAAAATTTTGAGGAAAAGAGTTTTCTTAGGAAATACTTCCACCCACCCCTGCGATGCAACTTGAAGGCAAGTCACCAATCACTGCGGCAGACTCTAAGGGATTCCCAAGGCCGGCAGCGAGGACGGCGGGGGCCAGTCATGTCTGGCAGTGACCAGTGCCTGTCTGCTCTCTGGGTCCCAAGGTGCAGGCCCTGGGAACACGTCCCATAGGCATGCCCTTGACTTCACCTGACCCCACCGGCTGACCGGGGCTCTGCGGGACGAGAGCCATGCTCCAGGCGCCTCACAGTGAGAGGAGGAGCACAGACTCACCCCGCTGCCCAAGCTGCTGGACCTGCTTCTTGTGAGCGAGAGAGCATGCTGCACAAAAAGGGCACACGGCTGAAATGTTCTGAGAAGTTGTCACTGTTCGAAGAGCGGTGTAAGGGCCAGCTGGAAACAAGCCCCGCTCTGCACCCGCTGCCATGCCTCAGGCTCCCCTGGGGGAAGCGGTGCTGACAGCCCCCTGCCTACCCGAGCTCGGCGTCTAGGTGGCTCCTTGGTGCCACAAGGCCAGCACGTGGACAAATGCCTGACGTTACCTCCGGGTGCTGGCGAGTCCCCCACGCGGCTGCCCAGCTCAGGGTAGACGCTTTTTCTCCAAATGGCCAGGTCTCCTGGCCGCAGCCTCCACATCGCAGGCACTCAGCTCCACCAACCTGAGCAAGGGCAGCCACCACCACCCACAAACAAGTGGGCAAGGCTGTGCGCCTTAGGAGAAGACGTGGCCCCGAGCCCCAGTCTGCCAGCCCTGGTCTAACTGGTAAGGAGCGCAACGTTGGCTTCAATTTGATCGAAGCTGCTGCTTTGGTTACTGATGCCTGGCGTAGGCTAGTATCGCCCCTTCATCTCTCTCCCAAGCGTAGGGTCTAGGTGTAAATGAGGTACAGAAAATTGCAGAAGCAGCGCCCAACCCTCTTAGGATTCTTGGAAGCAGACGCAACAGACCCAAGAGGCCTGACGCATTCTCGCTGCTACTTTCTACACTCACCTGCCGGCGGCTGACGCTCAGGCTCAGGCCCCGGCAGAGGGCGCGCGGGCTGCGCGCACCAGGAGGTGGAACCGCGGACCCCGAGCCAGACCCGGACGCGTCACAACGAGCCCTTCCTCGCCCAGATGCCAGAGCCGCCACGCGGAGTCCGCGGCCCGACGCAGACCCCTTCCCTCCGCGGAGCCGGGCTTCCTACCCGACCGCTGCCGTCCGCGGACTCCTCGCCAGATTGGCCCGCAAATCCGCCGGGACGAGTCAGGAACGACCACAGGAGGGGTGCGCACAGGTAAAGGGGATCGCGCACGGGGGAGGGGCGCGCACAGGTAGGGGGAGGGGCGCGCACAGGTAAGGGGCAGTGCGCGCAGGGAGGGAGGTGCGCAGGGCGCATGGGGGCCGCGCCGCTGCAGTGAGAAGTTCCAGAAGCTCTGGGCTCTCCCTGATTCCCTTTTGATTTTGTCTCCTTCTGGTTCTGATGTGTCACCAACTGAAAAATCAGATAATCCAGTTTCTTAGAAGTTTGTCAAAAAGAAGGAGTTCCCAGGCGAGGCTAGGGGGCCCATGCTGCTGTTCTGGGGACCCGGGGGTTTGCTTTTGTCTCTCCCCTTGTTTTGCCAGCAACGGAAAGTGCGCTTCCCAGAAATTCTATGTAGTTCCTTCCAGTGCCTGCAGGAACATACACACGGCACCAAGCCCGTCAGCTCTGGCCTCCCTTGCCCAAAGCAGAGTCCGCTCTCACAAAAGGCTCAGGACGGACAGATGCTTACTGATGGACGCTTTTAGATGCTTTTGGTACTCAGAAAAGACAAAACTATGGATTACAGACTTAAAATTTTGAGTTCAGTTTGTATTCAGAACGGAAAAGCCTTGCAGTTAAAGGAGAACGGAGCATTTAATGAAATTCGCAGGCTCATTAGTGGTATCTTACCAGGAAGTGATATGAATTCTTCTTAGAGAAGAGCAGAGATTGTATGACTCATTTCCAGATTCCTGTGGTTTATTATCCTTACTTCTAATTTGTTGGAAGACTATCTTTAGACAGATAACAAATGTTCCAGTATTCTGACATTTTAACACCCACATAGCAACAAGAATAAACTCTGATGTTAGATCCAAGATCTCTGGCTTCTGGGTTTAATAGAGAAACAGACATTAATACAGTTTCCCCTCTCCATAGTATGTTTTAGAGAAAGTTGTCAGTTCTGTGAATCTGTACTGCAGAAACACTTTCTGATGCTCCCTTTAAATGAAAAAAAAAAAAAATGAAGAAAAACAGTACAGCTTAGTCTGTGTCAAATTATATGTTTTTAAGTGTCATGAGTGTGGGTTAGAATTAGATAAAATCATTGTACTATGAAGGACAAACTTTCAAGGGAAAGGCACACAGAGGTAGAGGAGTGTGAAACTTAGTCTCTTTATACAAGGAAGACCCGAGCGTCCCCCATGGACAGGAGAGCATCTCTGTCACCCAGAGCCCTCCCCCCGACACCGTCTTCTAAATCAGCCAATGGAGACCGTCACGCGTGTTGCCAAATATCTTCAAATGAGTGGGTCAAAGAATGAGCCTGGATATTGTGCTTAAACCCTTGAGTTCTGTGAACAAAACTGAGGTAATGAAGCTGATGGAGGCCACTGGCCTCTGGGGCATGACCAGCCCTGGGCACCCCTGCCATGTGGATCAGGAGGGGGCCCCTGGTGGAACCAGGACACCGGCACTGCTCACCAGGCCTGGTGCTGACCTGCGGTGTAGGCTGAGCCCTGGACCTCAGGGGCCAGCCGCCTCGGCCCCCTCCAGCCCCTGCTGCCAGACCCCAGGGCGGGGGACCGGGAGGGGTCCGGCCTTGCCTCCCCTTTGGTCTCCCTGATTCAGGAGATGCAGGCTCCTTGGGAATCGTGCTGCTCCCCACCTCACAAATGAGATCAGCTTAGAGGACGGACACCCGCCACTTCACCTGCCAGCCTGTTCCCCTTGGTAGGGTGCTGGTGGGTTCTGCACCGTGGCACAGACCAGCGGCTTAGAGAACATCAGCTTCTTTCAGTTTATTTTTGAAAACGTCAGACTTTATCTTCCCTTAACTTGATAAAGAAAAACACTATTTAAGAGGACCCTGCCTTAATTATTTCTATGATGCTTAACGCCCTCGACTCAGAACTTGGATTCCTGGCTGCAGACGTGCCCACGGCACGTAACCTACACCCTCGGTGCGGGGCGACACAGCCCCCGCATGACTCATGTTCCACCAGAGAACCCAGCGCACAGGCCGACAGCCGACGCACACAGCTGCCAGAGCTCCAGAGCGCAGCGCCATGTCTCCAGACCCTCGCTGGGGCCGGGCGGGGCCTGGCCCTGCCAAGGAGCCTCTGGGTGCCCCAAATCAGGGCCAGAAGCTTTCCCACTGAGTGTGGAGTCTGAATTCCCCAGTTAGGAATATGAAGCCCTTAGCAGCTCTTCACTGAGTCAGCTGTGATCTTGGTTAAGAAAAACAAAAGCCAACCTGAGTGCGTGTCCTGACCGTGTCCATAGAAAGGCACACATTCCAGAAGCATGAGCCCCACAGGCCCACCCTCTTGGGAGGGAAGGGCCACAGACCGTGGGCTGCTTCTCTGCGCAAGGGCTGCTCACTGCCAGGCCCTCCGCAGTCTCTGTGGCTCTGGGTCATGAGGTTTGACCCCTCGAAACCACTCTGTGCCCTTGGGCAACTGTACCAGCTGCGGGGAGAAGGCTGTGTGTGGTGCCAGGCCCCAAGCAGCAGCGCCCTGCGCCCCACAGGGGAGGGACTTCTCCGCTCCAGCGGGGAAGCCACCAGGGACAGTAGGGCAGCGGCACGGGCAGGTAGGAGTGGCACCCCGGACCCATGGCCTGGAGCCACCTCTGCAGGCCCCACCCTCCCATGGCCACAAGCTCCCACCTCAAGGCCCCCTTGTCCTGTGAGGGAGGGTGCAGGCTGCGCAGGGCCCATGTGCTGGCTGTTCTGCCTCTCCCGCTGGCATCTAAAGAGGCCATTCATGGGATCTTCATCTTCTCAAAATGTGACAAGTAAGTCCACATGCAGAAGCACTTTCTGTGTGTGCGTGTGTGTGAGGAGCAGAGTGTACAAGCTAGCAAGGCAGGTCAGACACAGAAGCAAACTCCAGGACTCTAGCCCCGTGGCAGACCTGAACCTGGGACCAGAGCTCGCAGTCCCGCTTCCTCTGCGGGTCCCACCGCCTGCACATTGGTTTTCCGGCCAGCCCCACCCAGAAGGCGCGTCTCCCTCAGACCCTGCTCCAAGGCAGCCTGCCCTGGGGACGTCCCTGAGTCCTGCCCAAAACCTGGGCCTTTCCTGGACGCCTCTTCCCCTCCCCAGCCTCCAGCCAGGCCTTCCGCACCTGCCTTCTGGCTCTGGCTCCTTCCCAGCCCAGACCCACAGGTCAGGCAAACACAGGGACTAACAGCTCTCAGGATGTCCTGGGGGGCTCTCGAATGGGGGCAGGGGTACCTGAGTAAGAAGCTGGTCCGGCGTTAGCTGGTTGATCCACCGTGTGTATCGCTCAGTGGAGTTGGGGGGCTCTCTCCTTACTCGGCAACCGATAATCTGTGAGACAACAAAACAGACCTTAAAAGACAGTCACCGTGGGCTGACAGGCACACATACCTATCCACAGACGTCTCACCTGGCGTGGGCTGGCACACCCAGCAGGGAACTAACAAAGACTTGTATCTGATCGGGCTAGGACAACTTCTGGGAGGAAAGGGGGAGAGGGAGATGCAGGGTTCAGGCTGGACCCCATGATGGACGGTCCTACCCTGCCAGTTCCAGCAGCACCCGTGAAATCACCCCAGGTTAGAGCTGTCGCCGATAAGCCTTCCCCCTTAATGCACAATTAAATGCTCTGTGCACAAGGTCAGATGTCCAGCTACCTCAGCAGGTTCTACCTGAACCATGACTCAGGCAGACACGAGGGGCAGAGGGCAAGGGAGAGAGGATCTCGAGCAGGCTCCCTGCTGAGCTCAGGGCTCGATCCCAGGACCCTGAGAGCACAACCCAAGGCAACACCAAGAGTCGGAGGCTTACCAAGCACCACCCAGGCACCCTGATAATTAATTAAAATTATTTTTTATTTTATTTTAATTTTTTAAAAAGATTTTATTTATTTATTTATTTGACAGACAGAGATCACAAGCAGGCAGAGAGGCAGGCATGGTGGGGGGAAGCAGGCTCCGCGCTGAGCAGAGAGCCCGATGTGGGGCTCGATCCCATGACCCTGAGATCACGACCTGAGCCGAAGGCAGAGGCTTTAACCCACTGAGCCACCCAGGTGCCCTAAATTTTTTTTTTTTATAAAGATTTTATTTTTTTATTTGACACAGAGAGAGAGACAGCAAGAGAGGGAACACAAGCAGGGGGAGTGGGAGAGGGAGAGGCTGAGCAGGGAGCCCGATGCAGGGCTTGATCCCAGGACCCTGTGATCATGACCTGAGCTGAAGGTAGACACTCAATGATGAAGCCCCCCCGGGGGGCCCCCCCCGATAATTTCTTAGGAGACTGATTCGGTGATGCAGGTCTTAGTGACCACTCTGAGGAGGAGAGAGTGCAGGTCAGGGTCGGCTGCTGGCCACACCTGGGCCCTTACTGGAGCCCTGTGAGCCTCACCTGGGTGGGGGGGGGGGGCAGGCCCTGTGCTGCTGGGTGTCCCCCAGAGGGAGCAGCTCCTTCTGCAGCGACGGGCTCAGATACCTACAGTGGGGACCAGCCTCAGCGGACTCTGGAGGACGGGACCCTCCACCTCGGAGCAGTCTCACACAGGCATCCCAAACACCCGCACACAGCCCAAAGCCAAAGTGTGGTGCTGTCCCCAGGTTTTGAGCTCTGTTGGAGGGGCGGCAGGGGCCGTGGGGGCCGGGGCTGCCCAAGCAGGTGTGTGCTCTCTCTCCCTCTCCTTCTGCCCCCCGCTCATGCCCTCTCTCTAAAGTAAATACATAAGTAAATAAACACATAAAAAGAAATTGTCAAAAGTTCTACCATGACTCTTGAATTCCTTAAATTCAGCTGTCTATAGCACATCTGCATGGTGATTAATTTATATTAATGCAGGAACGCTAACGAAGACATAAGAAAGTTTTTGCTTGGGGCGCCTGGGTGGCTCAGTGGGTTAAATGCCCTGCCTTCGGCTCAGGTCATGATCTCAGGGTCCTGGGATCGAGCCCCACGTTGGGCTCTCTGCTCAGCGGGGAGCCTGCTTCCTCCTCTCTCTCTGCCTGCCTCTCTGCCTGCTTGTGATCTCTGTCTCTCTAATAAATAAATGAAATCTTAAAAAAAAATTTTTTTTTGCTTGCATAATTTTGTGTTCGGTTCTTTTTTTTTTTTTTTTTTTTT